AAGGTTATGTGTATACGAGCTGCATGTGTGGCAAATTTTTGAGAAACTACGTAATTATTTATTTAGAATATCCTTACTAATATTATAAATGGGAAAGTGAGTTTGTTTGTTTGTTTGTTCCACTATCACGCCGTACCTACTAAACCGATTGCTTTGAATTTTTACAGACGTAAAGTTAAAAGTCCAGATTAAATAATAGGGTACTTTTTAACCTTTTTAAATTTGATATTCCCGAGGGAAAACAAAAGTATTGGTATAGATGGCGCTGTGTGTATTGGTATATGTCACATAGGCTACGTTTTATCCTTTTGTGATGCGAGCGAAGCCGCGGGTAAAAGCTAGTAAAATAATAATTTAACATTCTGCGTACTGTTTACTATTTGGTATTAAGAGCTAAGAATTCTGTCTGTTTGATGTAATATTTCTGTTGTATTAATCTCTTGATATATAGTATCGATAATCCCCAAAAATTGTTTCTACAAAAGTAACTTTCGGAAAAAGGTCTATAGTGCAGTGAGTGGTGAATCACGATCACAGGTGACCGTGATTTGAAATCGGATTTTTTTATTTTCCATTCTGCCTCCTAATCTATGTCCTGCCCGCGGCATCAAGATACGTTTTCATTGTGGGCCCCCGCGTGGCGCAATAAAAAATCCGCGCAATATGCTCCTCATAAGCTTGGAGCCGGGAGCGAGGGGCCCGGGGCCCCGTGCTCGCTACGTCACCTCGCATCAGCCTCGTCGCCTGATCTCTGCGATATTGTTTAGACAACTCACTCACTGAGGGGATGTGGTGCTGTTTGATATTTTAAATGTGTTTTTATCTGTTTTGGGGGTGAATGGCTTCATGTATGTTGTTTGTATTGAGGTATGTTACGTAGTTGGACAATCCTATTAAGTAATGCACTTACTAGGCTGGCCCATTAGGCTTCCATACTGATTTTGGTAGATTAATTAAAATAATTGAACATTCTAATTAAACTTGAAATAAATGTGGCAAATGGCGTCTAAAAAACATTGATCAATAACAAAATATAACCCGCGGTTAATAATTATCCCCGTGCCGTTACTGAAAATATGTAGGAAATTTTTACTTAGTAGCCTTTAGGAGATTGATTTTTTTTCTCTCAAAAAAGCCCTTGCCCCACAGAAAAATAGGATTTTCTCCTGTGTCGTGGGTGCATTTAGAAACATAAAAGTTCACATACACATGACACCTTTGTGTGTAGGGGATATGCTAGGTGTCAGCTGAAACAACAATTTGTGGATTACACAAAGAGCTGGTCCGAGCGGGAATCGAACCCGCGACACATTGCGCGGCAGCCGGTTGCCCAGCCAACGCACCAACGTGCCGGCGATTTACAATAGCTCTGTAACTCTTAAACGACTGAGTCGACACTGATGACATCTTATTATTTACTGTGATTGTCATTTGTCACGTAGCTAATATAAAGCATGGAGTGTCGTGGTGTAGTGACGTCACGCCCCGCCCCCGACCGCGCAGCTCGCTAACAAGCCTCGTTATCCGCTGTCACGCGCCGAGCTGGAGATGTCGCACTTTTGGGATATTAGCTGTCGTTCACAGGTTGCACTCCATGCTGACATGTTCTGTGGTAACTTGTTGGTATACCCTTAGATATAGCATCCCCATTATATCAGAATGTTTGATTGTTTTTTCATTGTCAATGTCATCTCACATTTATTTGGTAAGTTTTTAAGAGAAACAATATTGTACAATTTGTTATCAACACGCTAGTTAACTAGTAGAAATTTATACATGGCTTTTATGTAGAGGACTAATGAACCTCATAGTCTACTTAGTCAGTAGACTATCACGAAATTGATGCCACCCTCGACCAGTTATAATTTTGAGCCACATAACATCACGCCCTTTATTCCTGAAGGGGAAGGCAGAAGTGCACATTATGCCACTGTACAATGTAACACCCAATTTTCACTATTTATGTTATGAGTCCCATGTAATAGGGGGTGAGTCTATTGCCATATACCGGGCACAATTCAGGCTCCGCGCTACTACTGAGATTTTTTTAAAAACCCAGTAATACTTTGCCCGAGCCGGGAATCGAACCCGACACCCCTTGCCCGGTAGTCGCACTAGCGACCACTTGGCCAACTAGGCAATCAAACTTTGAAACTTTGTTTCAAACTAAGTTGCAAACTTTGAACCACTGCATAATATACATAATTTATTACTACTAAATCTATGCTGTTGAGATTGCATTTAGAGTATTTTTTTTAAAAGAAAATCATCGAATGGCTGCTCTGCCTGGGTGAGGCGAAACCCCTCCCGCTTCTTACTGACTAAACACCACTCCGTTCCTTGTCCTGCCTTCGAGCTGGAGCCCCGGTAATCCGCGACTGCATTTAGAGTATAGAGACAACTAGTTCTTTTATTGTTTTTTTCAACAATATAATAATGTTACGAACCTAGCCTAGACCGCACTCAGTGTGAGGCTCGATACTGTCGTTGGTATCGAATATTGAACTAGACCCAACTTAGACATCAATCCCAAGGTCCCTTGCGTCAAGCAACAAACCAGCTTTAAGTTCCAAATAATTAGATTGCACAAAAATCTTAACCGCAATCAGCATTAGCAGAGAACAATATGTGATTACAAAGCAGCGACCGTTTTAATTAATATCTCGAGTTAGTATTGTGGCGAGAACAATATGGCGCGGGACGGTTGCGCGCGCACCCGCCACGTCACTTCCGGCCGCGACAATGCGCGTGCGCACAAAAGCGCAGCGCGATATTGTTCCAAGTATTATTATAGTAAATAACACGCGATTATGGTGAAATGACTGGTATGTTGAGAAGCTCGGGTTACTCGCGTTACTGCGAGTAATCACCTTGACTTTGCAATCATTGCCGTTATATTGACAGCGGCTCTCAAAGTTTTTCACTCCACTACTACACTCTTCTACCATTTACAACAGTAGCCGTTAACTTGCAGGATACTATATGAGTACCGAGTTCAATATTTCATGCATTTGCTCTCGATGCCACACTCCATTAAAGTTTAGTTTATAAGTTTTGGAATTTTTCTTGAGATTCAGCACATCATCCCCAGAGATTGATGTTCAGTTATTAACAATCACACACATACATGTTTCTGTGTGTATGTGTCATGTTTTACGTTAACTGAAAGTGACTACTTCTACAGACTCCTTTTTTGATATATTACCTAAGCAAGTAAATGGTTTTATAATCTATGTTTGTAATACATTACTTACCAAATGTACCTAAACATAGGGCTTAGGAACTTTCCACACTTATGTGTCGCAACGCTGACATCTATTATTATCACAGTGTCACAGTCGTTTTTATTCAGATCTTATTACAAAATATAATTATCTTCTATACTTTTCAAAAATTATGAAACCATTTAAGAACATAACATCACGCCTTTTATTCCCGAAGAGGTAGGCAGAGGTGCTTATTGTGACACTTAATGTCAGTGTAAGTACAATGTAACACCTACTTTTCACTATTAATTATGTTATGAGTCCCATGAAATAAATAGGTGGTGAACCTATTGCCATATACCGGGCAAAAGTCCAGAATCCGTGCTACTACTCAGATTTTTTTTTAAAAACCCATTTTAGCTTTGTCCGACCCGGGAATCGAACCCGAAGACCTCTTGCCCGGTAATCAAATTGCGAACATTCGGCCAATGAGGCAACAATTTAACTAGGTTTTACAAATTGTTGTCTGCCACTTGGCCTCAAGTTTGAGAACCAGTGTCACAGTCCAAGGTCTGTAATTTGGCTTGTAGTGCGCGGTGCCCGCCTTCAACTGTTCACTTACAATCATTGTGATTGAACACTATTGTTAGACCTCTGCTTACCCCACGAGCCGCGGCTTGAAGCGGCAGCTGGTACTTCCTACGTGAGACTCTCTTTACTAATTTTGTTAGTAATTTTAAGTAAGGGTCATAATAATTTCACGATTTCATTGAGTACAATAACCTTGAGCTGTGTTAAGTTCTATGATGTATTTCGGAAAATATTACCTCTGTGCTAGGACCGCTTCATTGAGTCCAGGTATAATAATAGAAGGTTCATACAGGGCGTGATAACCAAAAGTAGAATAATTAGTTGAACACTAATTATTCAAGGTCGATTTGTACATGAGAGATCATTTTTAACTTCTAGATATTTCCGTAGCTTTAGCCATCGCCGTCGGTGTCAGCAACGGGAAAAGTTTTACTTGATTGTCAGCTGAGCCGAGCCTGGTTATATGAAAATGAAATAAGAAATGAAACTGTATCAGTTAGCTAACTTTTGGATAGATAGTAATTCGAGATACAATTATTGAAAAATATTACATTTAAATACATTATGAAACTGTATTCATTTAAAATGAAACCACCTTGTAATATTTCACAGCGCATATATTTATTAAATTACAGTTTACACTCAATATTGCAGTTGGTAAATTGTCTATACTTTATGATTCGCTACATAACACTAATATTTACAGTTAATATATCATCACTCCGTATATTTATATATCGACTATACATTTATTATTATACCTAAATAATTTTTATTATCGATCGTCATGTTTAATGCCTAAATATTCAGAAGTTTAAATAACGTAAGTAGTAAGTACATGTCAGAATAATTTAAAGACAATTTTGTTAATATTTTTTTTCTCCAAGTACATAATCAATAGATATTATTAGAGAATATCATTATTTCTTTTTCGTAATATTCCTTTACTCATGAGCATAACCACAAACATGTATCACCTACAAATCATATTCCACAGACTCTATTTACAATATCAATATTTACACAACAATTCCCTATTAAAATTACAAATTCCATATTTGCTATGTATTATCATGATATCTTTTTTCAGGAATGTAAATAAAAAAAAATACACATTGATGAAATGGTAAGCGACAGAACTTGTCTATAAATTGGAGCCAGAGAGCGGCACGAACCAAACGCCGGCTGAACACGACAACTAGATAATTTAACTTGGATAGTATAACTCTACATATTCACAAAGATCACGTGTAGCGTGCCTAATCAAATCCTTCATCAATTCACTCCTTGTTGTCTCCGTAACTATTGAAGTATGCAGCCCCGGGTCACAATAGCTTGGAGAAGAAAGTGTTCGGCGCAGTCATTCGGGATGGGTCCAGGATGCGAGGGTACGAGGCACCCAGAAACGGTCTGAAGGCCACTCGGCTCGCGTCTTCCACGGGGCTGGTGGTAGCCTCCTGCGTGGACTCGTCCTGCGTGTCCAGGGAGGAGTCTCCGTTATTAGAGCTGCCGGCGCCCAGGTGCAACTTACGAGTATGCTTCTTCAAGTCGAAGTTCCTGCAGAACCCTTTAGCACAGATGCTGCAGGTGAACGGCTTCCGTTCGTTGTGTGTGTGCATGTGGAACGTGAGGTTGTAGATCTGGTGGAACGCCTTGTTACAGATGCTGCACTTGTACGCCTTCTCCCCGCTGTGGGTCAGTCTGTGGTTCTTGTAGTTGCCTTTTTGATGGAACCCCTTGCCACAGAATTCGCAGACAAAGGGCTTGTACCCTGCGTGGATCCTAGCGTGAGTGTTCAGGGTCGACGACCTATTGAATGCTTTGCCACAAGTCAGACACTTGTGTGGCTTCTCCGAGGTGTGTATGATTTTGTGTCTGCACAGCGTGGACGCCTGTCGGAATCCCTTGCCACATATTTTGCAAACAAATGGCCTGGCACCAGTGTGTACTGGCATGTGTCTAGTGAGGTTGTAGTGCGCGTTGAATACTTTGCCGCAGTCTCCGCAAGCAAAGCTTTTGTTTTTCGCAGGGGAAGGCGTGGGGCCAGTGGTGGATGACACGGCGTGGTCTGCTGCTGGAGGACGAGGGCTGGGTGGACGCTGGACTGGTGATGTCGGTGGAGGTGGCCGGGGCAGCTGCAGCTGGTGGGCGTATGTGAGAGAGACCAAGTCGGGACCGTAGTACAGTAAAGGATAGTGTGATACAAGTTGTCTCCTAGCCGCTGGGATATATTGTTTAAACGCTGAATCTAGAAGTTGAGCTCCGTACGATAGGAATCCTGGTGGTGGTGGTGGAGCTTCAGGGGATACTGACTTCTTTCTATCAGGTTCCATGAGTCTTGCTATGGAGAAGTTAAGGACGGGTGCTGTGGGCGTGTCAGGGGACTTGGCTCGTTCTGGAGAGGACTCCCGGGGACCCTCGGGCCGCGCAGTGGATTGGAACGGCTGCATCTTGGTAGCTTGGAGACAACTATATTGTATCTGTAACAAAGACAAATATACGCGTTAATTATACGGAATATGCTTCGGCAAAGTTTTTAGAAAAGTAGTCGTTGCGTCAGCAATCATATGATCGTAACTCATAGGTTCGGTATACAAAATACGTCACCCTAGCGGCAATTGTACAAATTGAGCACGATTGTCGCATCGAGACATTTGTGCGGGGGTGTGTCAGTACGCCTGCACCGCGGTCGCGACAAAGCGCCATCTACCATTGTGCTTGTTTTAAGTAAATTGGAAAGCGTCGCACGGGGGCCGGGGCCTGTGTCTGACGCCGCCTTTATTCAACCAGAACCTTCAGGCATTGTGTGGGAATCGCTCTCATCTCGCGATACAAATTGTAATGACGAGTGCTTCTCAGTCGCGCGATTGTGCAGCGCTCGCAATATTGTGAACTCTCTTTTTTTATATGTCAAAATTATATTGACACTTGTGAATGTCTGATAGCCGTCTTGTATTTTGTAACAATGAGTCGAATGAGGTAAAATACTGGACTAGCTATTGGGCAATTTCTGTGTGCTTACTCTCCATCTTAAGATTGCCTAGAAGAGTGAGAAGTGGTAATTTATGGTAAGGTATTACGGTACAGATTTAAGTATACCTACTTTATTTAAGTAGCAGGAAATCGTTTCATGATCTGATTAATGGTGTCATTCCAATAACAAACTGAAGTAGAAACGATAAATTAAAGTACATTTGGTAAACAAATATAAAACAAGGGGTCGGAGGAGCCCCTAAAACAAAGTAGTGCGGGAGGGTTGAGTCTATATCGCGGCAATTAGTGGGACAATAGTTGGAACGACTAACCCGCGGAATATGCTCGTGTGGTCTGCAATACCCCGCGTAATTGTCGGTCGCAAGAACACCCGCGGTGAAGTGTTTGTTTAAAGAATTAATTGCCGGCGGGGGCGGGTTATTGGGGTGTGAATGTGAGAGATCGATCACGTTCTAAGATATTTTTAATTTAGCATAAATATCTGAAGCTAGTATTTTGTACGTTTTTTTTATTTGTAGCGGTACCTACCTACATAAAAACTGACGACTTTATTTTCCAATGAAGTCGATTAGGTAATATAGATCCATCAAAAATTAATAAGTACTTATGTTAAGTCTATTTCATCACATTTATTGATCATCAATAACCCTTAAATCTAATTCATTATGGGTATCGAAGACTAAACAAATGGAATAGGCGAGAGTCGTGTCAGTGCCGTCGGTAAAAGTGTAACTACTGTAAGTACCTAGTTGCCTTTGGATATGACTTCGTATAATTGATTATTCCTTATCTCGATGGAATTTAAATGAATCCTAAAGACTTTAGTACCTACCTACTTACGAAATCTCAGTTTCCTACGACCAGAAATTTCAGGCTTTGCGCATCCTACCTATTTTTTATAGATTCGTCTAATACTTACTTAAGTAATCGATTTATGATATAAATATCATAATCAAAACTTGAAACGACTTTGCAGTTGAAGTTGCAAACAACATTTGAAACATTCAAATACTCTAAGGTACGTGATTAATATTTTTATTGTGTACCAAGTACAACTTACATTTCCTGTTTTAAGTACCTTCGTATTTAAAGTACGAATAGTAACGAGATGTTTGCCCACACTAAGTCACGGAGCATATTGTGCGTGTACTCTATTGTTCTGTACTGCATTTGAAGAATTGCATTGTTTATGGTCGTGTTACGTACCGCCGCCATATTGTACCGCGTACTACGCGAGCTCGGGATAAAACATTTTTAAAGTTATTGTTGATTGAAGTACCGGGGTTGTTTTCAATGTTAAGATTTTTAGATTTTTCGAGATTGTTTTGTGTTCGAGCTTAATTGTTTTGATTGTGAAACAATGAATTTATTGTAGTTTGTAGTGCAAGTTGTTAAGTTTGTTTATGTATCTGGACAAAGGATTGCATTATTATAGATGTAGTTGTATTTACGTTATAAATGAAAATACTTTAAGTCTCTTCAGAATATGTCAAAGTCAAAGTCAAAGTCAAAGCATTTATTTCAATTAAACCATAGTTTGGTGCTTTTGAAACGTCAACAAATATAAAATAAATAATAGTCTGTCAGTCAGTCCGTCAGTGAAACTAGGTGAAGCTAGGTGCTCATTCCAAAAAGTAGATTCGAATGGAGAAGAACGAGCAAGAAACTCCATTCGTTACTCTTTTAAAAAAAGTATGTTCTACAATGTCTCTGATACATATTTCAATACTGTACGTATATGTAAGAACAATGCAAAGACACGCTTGACGCATTATACTAATAACTTACAAAAATTAAAAAAATAAATAAATAAAATTAACTTAAAGTCCAACATGGTGCTCACATATGCATACTGACAATCCATAGAATTAGTGCTTCTATACAAGAAAAGGAAACTCTTTGTTTCAATAAAGAAATGCTCGATGCCATAAGGAAACTAGATTGTCTACATTAGAATTAAAGTGTTAAATTTTGTATTAAAATACCTACTATTGGAATTTAGCTACTGACTACATTTGAGTATTGTCCAGTGGAGCCGAACCAACATGCTGCCAAGCATTCTTATCTTCAAGATAATCTGTCAGTGTGTAGTAGGCTTGATTACATAATTCGCGCTTAATATATAACGGCACGTGGGTACCAGTATCAGAATCGCTCATCTTAAAGTGGGTAATCGCGCAGGGTATTTTTATTGAAATAATTAGACAGGTCTTCGATCAGCAGCCTTATAATAACAATTCACAATGTAAATCACAATAATCGCTTAATTTAACGCAGATGGAAATGGATTTACACTTTGGACGAAAGCAATCCGTCGTAACCGTCTAGTCCACGCTATCGTTGCAATCCAAGTCAACGAGTCCGGTGGTTGTTTGACGTTTATGACGTTCCGCCAGAGTGACAACACAATTGTCACTCTCGTCCAATCAGTGTGATTTGTTAAATCACATAATAGATGTCAAAATGGGTTTTCAGTATTTCTACTAGATGGCGCCAAGGACGCGCCTTCACGGCCGGACTGACAATCGCCCGTCCTCGGGCGAATATGTATTCCTGCAATAAGAAGATACCATACTGTTAGTCGAGCCACCATGCTCGTCCACCCTGACATTAGCCAGGGCATCTTACTATAGGTCACAGCCTATTTCGAACTCACTCTGGCAACTGGTAATACTTTTTTTTTTTTTTTTTTTCATTCGATGCGTAGCTCGGACAAATGCGCCCCTTCGACTTGCACCAAGTGCAAAACCAACCAACACCATCCCATCGACTAGCCATCGGCTCACTCATGATGCGCAGCCCGGACAAATGCGTCCTTACGACTTGCCCCAAGTGCAAGACCGGACAGCACCGTCCCTTCGACTCGCCATCATTCACGTCAACGAACTAGATTCGTACGTCCCTTCGACTTCGACCAGCACGACTAAGCCCGGACAATACAATCCATTCGTGACACACAGACGCATGCGTCCCTACGAACCTGCTAGCACTCTAGTCAGGACCGGACAACATCTCATCTTTGGATTTGCGTCCTTTCGATTTACCAAACAATAGGCAAAACCGGACAACAACACCCACACGTCATCATATATCACATAATATGAACTTACCTTAGGTTCTGAATATTATGCTCGGTGAACGTCTACGTCTACGTTAAAAGTCATAGGTCCCTCATCTTCCGAATCATCACCGGCTGTTTCAGAAGGGGCTGTGAGTGTTTCAGAAGATGCAGTCAGAGTAGCGGAATCTGCAGTCAGGGTATCAACACTGCGAGCCGACATAGTCTCAAAATCGGCATCAATATTGCCTTCCGACTGCATATCTACCGCCTCCACGGCTTCCTCGTCATTCATAATACCTTCAGCTAATTCTACTAAACCCTCGTGACCTCCCGGCACCAAACGCAAGTTTTCGTGGGAATACTTTAACGTACGGCAAGGACCATCTACGCTTTTTAATTCATAGCGGTCATTTTCCAGAACGCTGGTGATCACGAAAGGTCCTCTAAACTTTCGGTCGAGTTTCGTTTGATTACGTTCTGAACTTTTAACGAAAACGTAATCTCCTTTATTAAATGGCTTTACTTTAGCTCTTCCGCGATTAAAACGAATAGTCTCAGCTTTAGCAGCTTTCTTTATATTCTTGGATGCATTTAAACGTATCGCTTCTAAATTTAAACGCTCGGGTGGACCATCTCCAGTTGAAATCTTGGAGATTCCTAAAGAGTACGATTGAACTCCAAACATTAATTCAGTCGGGGTATATTTCGTGACAGTAGACCTTGTGCTATTTAGAGCAAGTTGTACGTTGCCTAACTCATCGCGCCAATTTTTATGCGGATCATTTTCAATAATTGTAAGTAAAGATTTTAGGGTTCGCATTACCCGTTCGACCTGACCGTTTGCTCTACTTGAGCCAGTGGCGATGAAATGAAGATCAATGTGATGTTCCGCACAAAATTTTTTGAATTCACCACTAATATAGCAGCGACCCTGATCAGCCACAATTCGTTTAGGAGCACCGAACAGACAAACAGCTTTCTTCAGTGCCCAAATGGCACTCACCGCATCTAAAGAAGTGGTGTGTTCCAACAGGACGTATTTGGTAAACGAATCAATGATGACAGAACAGTACTCTTTTTGATCACTCTTACCTGTCAATTTTCCAGAAAAATCTATGTGGAGTGTGTGCCAAGGGGTTGGCTCTTTCGGAATGGGGTGTAGTCTAACTGGTTGGGCACCTGAGGGTCCTTTCGAGGCTTTACATATTATGCATGAGTCGACAAACCGGCGAACACTTTTCGACATCTCGGGGAACCAATATAGATCGTAAATTTTGTCGAGAGTCTTATCGGGGCCCAAATGTTGAATTTCCGAATGAATGTGACTGATCAGAGTCCATACCAATGAGCGGGGTACTATAGGTAACCAAGAAACGGTTTTATTGCGGTTAATTTTCCGGTAAAGAACGCCATTCCTAACGTCATAAGTTTGTGCTACATTCTCCGGTAAATCACCGTCCAAAAATTTCTTTTGAATGTCTTGAATTTCAGCGTCGCGCTTTTGCTCGACAGACAACCAACCAGCATGCAACTCTACAAATTTAACTACTTTCTTTGCAGGACTAGGGGAGGCCTTAAACTTATCTGAACAATTTTCCAAAGTTGGGTCAGTGTCAGCTGTCAAAGTGGTCTCAGGTAGGTGATTTCGCGATAGATAATCGGCGTGTTCCATGCTTTTCCCTTCACGATAAACAATATCAAAATCGTACGCTTGAAGCATGGCCCACCACCTATGAACGCGGGGTGTCAAATCGACCTTTGATTTAGATGCCTTCAACGAGTTACAGTCGGTATAGACTGTGAACTTCCGGCCATGCAAATAGTGACGAAAATGTTCGACCGCTCGCACGACTGCCAGAGTCTCTAGTTCATACGAATGATAACGAGACTCAACCTCAGTCGTGCGGCGGCTAAAATAAGCCACTACGTGTGGCAAATTGTTTTTTCTTTGGATAACTATAGCCCCGTATCCCTCCGAACTAGCGTCACAGTGGAGCTCTACTGGCAGTTTTGGGTCGAAAATTGTCAAAACCGGCTCTGACGTGAGAACCCGAATAACATTTTGTCTGATCTCTTCGTGTTTCTCGGTCCACTTAATGCCTCCCTTTAACTTTGTAAGAGGGTATAGCGGACCAACTATCTGAGTATAACTAGGGATAAATTTCCTAAAATATGAAGATAGGCCAAGAAATTGGCGAACTTGAGTTGCTGTCTTCGGGGGAGGAGCATTGGCCAAAGCCTGAATTTTAAGGGAATTGGGTCTAATCTCGCCAGCTTGGATAGCATAACCTAGATAGTTAACTTTGTTTTTAAGAAACTTACACTTACGTAAATTCAACGAAAACCCAGCTTTCGTCAGAGCTCCCAGACATTGGTCTAACCGTCGTAGACCCTCTGTGACGTCAGAGGAATGGCAGAGCACATCGTCCATATACACTAGGGGTCCATCTTTCAAATATTTAAGTGCATCATTAATGCACCTCTGATATACCGAGGGTGCATTGCGTAAACCAAATGGCATTGCAACATATTCGTATTGTCCCTCGGGCGTCACGAAAGCTGTCTTTTCTACGGATTCTGGGTGGATCAAAATCTGGTGGAAACCAGAGGCCATGTCTAAACACGAAAAGTAATAAGCTCCGGTGAGCTGGTCTATTTGGTCGTCTATAAGTGGTAGGGGGTAATGCTCAGGTCGCGTGTTTGAGTTGAGTTCTCTGTAATCGACACACATTCTATCCGTGTCGTCCTTTTTCTTTACTAATAGAATCGGACTAGCAAACGGCGAGGAACTCTCTCGAATAACACCAGCTTTCAATAACTCCTGAACCTTATCCCTCACCACCTGTTTTTCGATGGGAGATAAACGGTACGGTCGTCGTTGGACTATTTTATTAGGGTCAATAAGTTCAATTTTCATTACACCCGTATTAACACGTTTAGTTGGAGTACCACTTATAAAGTGATCAGTATACTTCAACAAGATACCCAGTAAGGCTTCCTTCTCGTCCCCGACTAAATCTGTATCTAGGGCCGCGACGTCAATACCTTGTACACTTTCGCAAAAATTTATTTTCTCATTAGTGGATATGAAGAGATTTTCGTTATCAATCTCAACACGTACTCCATTTTCCAGTACGTCCCTACCTACAATAACGTTTTCTGAAATGCAGTTGTTTGGAACGACATGAAACAAGAGAGTCAAGCAAAGATTATTAATTTGGACAGTGCTAGAAATTTGTCTATCACACTCAATATCGTCTCCCCAATGCCAGTCAAATAAACGGTGTTATTGCGTTCAATGCCAGGGAAATCCGAAGACACAGATTCCTTAATCAAAGAACAAGAGGAGCCACTATCAAAAAGGAAACAGATATGCTCACCAGATGCCGTCGTTAGTTTACCTCTCGAAGTCTTGTGCTCGCAGGTGTTGACCTCCCTGACCGCTGCGCCGCCTCTCTTCTCAGGGCACGACGTAGATACGTGGCCAGGTTTCCCGCACGAGAAACAGGTGATTGGTGCCGACTTGTCCTTGATCTGATCCGTGGAACCATCAGCGCGATTAACTGAGTCGTCACGTCGCCTTTTACACTCTGCTATTTTGTGTCCAGGAACTCCACACCGATGACACTTCCCATTGAACTTCGAGTCTGACGGACGAGGTCTTTTTATCTTATTATCACTACCATCATTATCTTCACTACGCCGCTTTAAAGAGACCCCACCTAGTGTCCGGAAGAGTTGAGCACGCGTTGTGATGGCATAGGAGTTCAGTTCACGACGAATCATGTTGTCTTTCGAGCTCAGAACGGAAATAACGAACCCAGTGATTGCCTCTTCTAACATCTCGACTTTAGGAATTCGCTCGATTAGTGCCCATAAACGCATAGCGGATTCACTAGCAGTCTCCTTTGTTCCGATCTGAAAGCGCAACACTTCATCGAAGTAGTCCTGCATCAATTTGGGCTCTGCAAATTTCGCCAGCAATGCTTGTTTCACAACTTCCCAGGTTAAGTCTTCCAGACGCAGTTTAGTCAGAATAGATGCTGCTCGTCCTTTTAATGCAGTTGTCAGAGCTACCAAAAGTTCCACGCCAATTAA